TCGTAGCCTCGGCTCGAGCCTCTGGCGCCTACGTAGGCACCGCTTTTGACGGGCTACGTAGGTGCCTACGCGCCTACGTAGCCTCGTCCGGAGCCTACGAACCTATGACCTACGCGCCCTCGCAGGCGCCCAAGACGCACGTCGACGCGGCCGCGGCCCGCAAGGAATACGACAAGATGATCGCGAGCAAGCTCAAGAAGGGCTACTGCCCCGTCTAGGCGCCCGCGAGCACGAGTACGCCGAAGCCGCCCGCGATGAAGCTTGTCCTTAAAAGGGCCCCGGACCGCGCGCCGCGAGTACGAGTACGCCGAAGCCTCTTAAAAAGAGCCCCCATCACCGCGTCGGCGGCGCGAAGTCCGTCGGGAGCGTGCGCTTCTGGGAGAACTCGCGCTCGAGGCGCGCGATGTTCCGCTCCTTGCCCGACCTCGCGTCGTCGCGGTCCGCGCCGAGGTAGGAGAGCACGGTGATCTCCATGGGGTGGGCGATCTGGCGCTTGAAGAACTTCTCGCAGCGCTTCTGGAAGGGCCGGCGCCGCGGGCCCTTGGCCGACGGCGGCCGCGCGGGCGCGCGCGCGGGCGCGCGCGCGGGCGCCGCGGGCCGCGCCGCGGGCGCGGGCCGCGCGGGCCGCGCGGGCGCGCGCGCCGCGGGCGCCGCGGGCGCGGGCGCGAACTCGACGCGGTCGCAGTAGAGGAGGTGGAGCGCGTTCGCCGCGCCGAGCTTGAAGACGAGGTCGAGCCGCGCGGGCGCGCGCGTCGCCGCGTCGCGCGCGAGGGCCGCGGCGACGCCGTCGGCGACGGCGGCGAGCGCGTCGAGGAGCCAGGCCGTCGCGACGGGCTCCGGCCCCAGGGGCACGGCGCGCCGCACGCCGACCTCGGGCGCGGCGACGCGGGTCGCGGACTCGAGGCCGCCGCGCGCCGTCCAGACGACGACGAGGTGCGAGTCCGCGCCGCGCGGCGGGACCCAGGCCTGGATGAGGCGGAGCTCGCCGGCCTCGGGCCGCGGCGCCGTCGCGCGCGCGGCGAGCGCGGCGTCGTCGAGCGCCGCCGCGGACGACCGCAGCGCGCCGGCCGCGTCGCGGGCCCAGCGCACCTCGAGGGCCACGGGCCGCCGGCCCGCGGCGGCGCGGGCGCGGCCGCCCCGAC